GCTCTCTCCCTGGGGTAAGACACCGTCCTGTAGGAAGGCTCCACCATGTTCCCCAGCTCCCCAGAGAACGAGCAAGGGGACCGCAGCGCTGTTTCTGGCTGCGTGCACCCCCTCCCAGCACCTCTGAAGTGCAAGGATTCACCAAGGGACCAAACCACGAACGTGTCACAACCCTGGGCTATGCTCTCTACTGCGTGGTCCCTTGGGAATAGTCATTAACTTCCTGTGTGAGGTGAGTTTAGGCAACATTATACATTTTTATGCCCGGCTGGCACCACGTATGTGGCTGCAGTGTCGGGACGTTTTCAGCCATGGCGTCTGTTTTGGCCCCTGCAGATTTCTGCAGGTCAGTGTAGCAGCCATGAGTTATTGTCTCTGAGCAAACAAGAGGGCTGTGAAAACTCCCAGATGGGCTTCGGATTCTGGGAAATGGGGTTTCCAGAGAGGAGATCCATTTTATTTCAGCATGAGGGGCAGTAACGGGTCCCTAACTTTCAGAGGGTGTTGGAAGGAAACACAAACTTAAAGCATGCCTTCTGTTTCTCCCAGCTGGTCAGTGGCACATTTAGCCTTTGCTCTGCCCTTAAATTAAGCTTTTTGAAAGGGAAAGGAACCCCTAAAAAAAGATGTTTAGATTACATTAGCCTTTAGGAGAAAATATCCCATGGTAAGGGGTAGTTCTGCATGAAACAGATGGTGTAGAGGCGGAAGCCGCATCACTGGAGGGGCTGGCAGGAGGTTAGACACATCTGTTTGTTTGAGTAGTCGGCACAGCAAGCTTTCCTGAGGACAGGCTGACCCCTCGAGGTTCCTTCCAGCCCCATCTTCTCTGTTGTGCTTTCAGGGATGGCACTGAACAACGCTCCTGTCTTCCTTAGAGAGTTGTGCCAGTTGTAGTCAGCTCATCATGATGGCGACTAGGGATACAAGAAGTAACTGGACACCCTGGCGCTAAGTAGATTAATTAGTTTGGCAAGAAGTTATTGAATGATCCCAGCTAAAACACTGAAGACCTCCATAAATTTCTATTAAAGTGACTTTTCATTCTTCACACTCATAGGAGAGAAAAGGAACAGTGTCGTTATGTTGAGTTATTGGTAGGTAGTAGTAGAGGAAACAAGGAAAGTTCTGTCACAGGCACCCTTTTGGTCTTGTCCAAGACAACCAAAGGTTAGGATCAATTATTGCAGCATATGAAGGAAAAAAAAAAAAGGCAGGAAGGACTGCTGTGTAGAGATATCACTTTCACATAATTGATCATCTGTCATTTCCCACTCCTGCGTACAACACTGTGTGATTGGTTCAGAGAATTACATAGAAGACTCTCTTGAAACACAGGAGCTATTGCCAGATGCTGATGTTGAACTCGATGAAGTGCTTTTATAGTGTAATTTTAAATACTGAGTGCCAGTCTCACTTCCACTGGAGAGGTACTGAAGTAAAGTAGTTAGCAAGACAGCTTTGATGCAAGATGGTTTACTTCTTTGCTTTTAGCACTTTGGCCTGAAGTAATTCAGAACAACTAGACTGTCATAAAAGGCTTAGATCTTAAAGAAATGCAAAACTAATAATGGCAAGACTGGCTTCAAGATGCTTCTGTAGAAATTTTTAGCAAGCTTTGTAAGGACTCACAGTAACCAGTCATGTTCTTGTGTTTTTAGTGTGCGATTCTCAAGCAGGAGAATGTAGTTTGTCTTTGCAGTAGCATTTAAAGAAATTCAGGTTATGAAGGTTCCACATTTAGCAAGAGAAGATGAAGCAGTTAGCAACGTACCTGTCACCAGCTCCTGAGACATTAACTATCTCCTCCCTTTTGATGGGGATGGTGGGATAGTGAGCAGCACACAGGCTGGTAGCAGCACTCTGCGTAAGGAAGAGTAGAAAGAAAGTTAGTGGGAAATGTCCAGGCTGAGAAGGGACGCTTGAATATGACTGATGTCATCCAGACCTGCACCGATGCTAAAAAAGAAAAAAGAGAAAAAGTCAGTAATCTTTTTGTACACTTTGAACAGGACCTGTTTGCATCCTTTGGAAAATTGTTTTCCCTTTACACTAGTGCAGCCATTTAAGCTCCCGAAAATAAAATTTGCACTCGTGAATATTCACGGAAAGCCCATTTTAAACTAGTTGACTATAAGCATTGCTGTCATGAGCCAGAAGTGCCAGGACAGACGGTTTGAATGTTTTTGCTAATCCGCAGTTCTGTGCACTCCTCCCTTCCAAACGTGCATTTGCCACAGAGGCTAACACTGGTGCTGTGTTCTCCAGGATTGTTACCACACTGCCAGAAACAGCAATGGGGCTATTTCACCCCTGACAGAAGCAACTGAGACCTTAGAGCCTCTTTCCTGTGCCCTTACCTGATCATGAGCCCCGGGCCAGAGCAGGACGCTCCCCCCCAGGCTCTTGCCACACAAGAGGACTCCGTGAGTGCCAAGTGTCACCAGCACACAGCGCAGCTGCGTCAGCAAAGGCCTGGCCAACGCCATGGCAGTCTTGACCACATCTTCCAGCGTGGATGGCACCTCTTCAGATAGATAGCAAGATTGGGAGAAGGAAAAACCATGACATAGCTTTAAAGGTTCCGGGTTAACCTTTTTGTACCACTGGGTTGGCAGCTGATTTATGAGCACTAATGAAAATCTATTTTATATATATATATACACATGCGTAAATATATATACACATACATATATATAATTTAATTAGTTTAATTAAATCATGAGAAGGATGAAGACTTCCAACCCTTGACTTCCACACCAAGTTTCTGTCCTTCGCTGAGGAATCCATTTCTCATGGGACTACACATTTGTCTGCAGAGACCAAGTCATTGTTTTGGAGTATGACATTATTGTCTTAATGCTACTGAATCTCTGCCGTGTGGTGGGGATATTTTATTTTCCCAAAGGCTGGTTATTGTTAGAACAATGGCCACCATAACCTCATGCTTCACTAAAGCAGATATATAAACCAAGGATTGTTTCTTTTTTTTTTTTTTTTTGATTGATGAAGTGATGAAAATGAGATCTCTGTTTTTGAACAGCCTGAGACGGCTCTCTTAGGCCTCTTTGGTAAATCAGCAGCATGGTCTGGTCCTGACAAACCATGCAAGGGTGGTAGTCAGATGAAAAAGACTGAGGATGCTTATCAAATCCCACTGTGTTATAACCCAATGTGCTTGAAATGAAAGCCATGCTTATTTTAACAACATCAGAACCCCTCAAAAATGACTGAAATGGGCCCTATGCATTAAATTCAGAAAATATGCATCTCACAAAATCCATATTTTCTCTCGTAAGTGTTGCGTTGACCAGTTCCAGTGATTTCAAACAAGCTGCAGTTTGTGGGCTAGTTCACTGCTGCCCTGCAGGAGGCTGCTGTGTGGGCTTTATAAAGCCTCCAAGCCCTTCAGCAGTTTTTAAAGCGAAAGCAAATGATTTTGGAGCTGGAATACAATCACCTCCCCAGAGAAGCAGTGCTGCTGCTTTGGCAATTTCTGACTTAGTACTATCCTGACTAATGGTCAACAAATGTTGTCATTTTGAAAGGGGAGCTGGAGAGGAAAGGACCTCTCCAGGGTCCATGTTGTCTTAAAGAGTGTCTGAGTATTCCATACCTGCTGGCAGAGGGTTCCCGAGGGTCTGATTTATTGCTCTGAGTTCCTGCAGGTTGGGGGAGATGAACGTGAGCGCTTTCCAGCTGTCTGAGAGGAATGGCTTGGAGGCCTTGTTCTCATCCGTTGGCTCATAGCACACTTTAAAACAACATTGCAATTGGTTAGTTAATTCATTAACAGTTAATCTCTACTACAGAACAGGGTGCTGTGTGAGAAGATTACTGTGAGCTGCACAACTAGGGTGACACTTATAAGCTATTAGCAGCCTTTCCCCTGCACTGGGTACAAAGTCTCCTAATTTTCCATTCTTTTGCTCAGAAATGATGCGGTTACTTCTGGCTCAGGAACAAGAGGCCCAGACTTTGGATTTGCTACTCTTTCTATTTGGTTATGGAGCCTCTGCCAGGTTTAAGAACTTTGTCTTCCCCTTCTTCAGAAGAATTTGCTTCTGAAAACAAAGGTATGGCTCTGCAGGCTGGGGAAGCCTTGTGGAGAGTCGTCAGCACCCTGGGGAGGGATTATGTATTTTATGGGAAGTGGCAGACCGAGTTCTCTCAAAAGATGCTCTAGCACTTATTCTGGGAAGCAAACCATGCTGCTGTTCCCACTGGCAGAAGCACACACATTCATCCATTTTAAATACAGCAGCAGTGTGTAGAAAGGAGCAGAGCACGTCAGACAAGACCTGGGTATCAGTGCTCAGTGGGTGCCGTTTGTTTCAGAGCCCAGGTTGCAGGAGCCATAGGGCAGGCTGAGCCCTCCTCACCTGCCAGCCCGTGCTCCCTGGCCAGCTCACAGACATACTGAAGAGTGGCAAGAGGCACGTTCCCATCAACGCACACCAGCGGGGCCCGGAGCAGGCTCTCCTTGAATTTGGACACCTAGGGAAAATCAAGAGCACATAGAGACAGTCTGAGTCATTGCAGGGGACACGAATGACTGCTCTTCAGACTCAGGAGGAGTGATTTTCACTCACATTGCAGCCTTTAGACATATGTGTGAACCTAGAAGAACGATTCCTGAAGGGAAAGGGGTCCTTCCTTTTGCCTCATCTCATCCCCTGCTGCGACCCAGAGCTAGATTCAGGGGCCTGGCCCCTCACTAGACCCATGTAGTGCTCCAGCTGGAGGACCCGTGGGGAAAGGGGAGGCTGCTCTTTAATGGCAGGGGCTCCCTGTAGGATTCCCTGTATTGTGTCTGGTTTGGCTATACCTTTGCTTACTGTGTATGTCATTTAGATATTTTCTGTACACCTGCTGCATCCTGAGCCAGTTTAGCAGCTTGTTCATCACGATGTTTCACTCCCTGGTCCTGCCAAATTCCACAGAGGTGGAGGGCAAAGGTCTGGAATGATAAAGGGATACCTCCATAGTTAGGCTCATTGATACAAAAAAGAACAGTTGACTGGCCCATTGAGTGGAATCCACAGAATTTGTTGGATAAGAAATTAATAATCCATACTAATTCGTGTGGCTGGGCTTCCAACACAATATGTGGGGAGTATTCAGGACCTGAGGAGAGATTTGCAACACCCTCTGCAATGAACAGGCAGGCAAAGTGAAGAGGGGCAATTGCAAGCGAGTCAGCAAGAAAGTCAGTCAGTTAAGAAGCAGTGAAATAGAGGACCAAATCTCAAAGTACATTTTCCTCCTGATCTTGGTGCTAACAACACTGATGAGATGGGGGCCTTTGGTCTGGAGACCAAATGAAGGACTTAAGTGACACCTTGAACAAGGCATGCAGACTGGCTCTTTCTTTTTCACATTATGCCTTGCTTGGTCTGATCACGTCCTGTCCACCTCTAATGTTTAATCAAGTGGCTGCAGCTCTTACACACAGCCCTCTGTGGCCGTTGCTGTCCATGAAGCAAGCAGATGGGCTGCTGCTGGCCCCTGAGGCTGCCATGAGCACTGGCCAAAGCCCTGGCTGGTGCCCCTGATGCTCCTGCAGCTCCCCTTCTTCAGCCTCGCTAATCCTGTCGGGAAAAAAGGCCTTTTGAAATGTGCTTTTCATCAGAAGATGGGCTCAGAGTTTCCACTGCCCCCCTTTCACAGTTGCTTTGTAAAGCTCATGAGAATTAAACTGTCATGTAGTGCTTTTCTGTGTCAATGCTTGGGAGAGGCAGGGTGGGGATGGAAGTGGGAGCAATGACTACTTTTTTTCCTAGGAATTCTCAGTCTCATGGGGATCCCACTGGTAAGTAAACTGCACTTAACTTCCATGTCGCTGTCAGTCATGAAGCAGAGGCTTTTGTTCTGTCAACAAAAGAGTGGAATGAGGCAGGAGGGTGTAGTTATAGGGGTTTCCTTGAGTCAGTCCTTAATCACTGCTTCCATTACTCCTGTTGTTTGGGAGGTTTGGGCATGCTGAGAAGCACTGTCTGTTTATACAGTGCAGCATGTAGAAACAACAGGGAGCAAGAGGAAGAGATGGAACAGGAAAATTTGCTTTAATCCATATTCTGACCACATTTTGTGTTTTCCTAGAGAGGGGAATACTTTCCATGCAGGTGAACTGGCTTTATTGCTGGCTTTTAAGGTGCCAAAAATGATAGGCAATTTGGGACTAGTTACCAAAGAGGGATCTGGCCTACAGGCATGGCATGAGAGCAGTGGTGATACCTCATGGGGAAGAATCAGAGAGAAGCCCCATCTGGCTAGTTGGCAACAGCCAGCTGTGGTGACCACGCTGCTATCTCAGTGGCCAAAGTCTGGGGTGAACTTCGGGTTTTCCCGTGTTCCCTTTGCACCCCTTCTCCCTCCTCATACAGTTTCCCTGGCTGCACCCGCTGTCCTTGCCATGAGCAGAGATGTGCAGATCAGAGGGCACGCGTACGTATTGCTCTGTTATCTCCCCGTGGATGTCCATGTCTCCCAAGCCAACGCTGAGCTCTCCAGCACTGGTGATCACAGCACAGTAAGTGGCTGTGTTCTTCCCCTCCAGCTGAAGGACAGCTCTCATGTCCTAAAACAAGAAACAAGTTATAAACGGAGCATTTCTCTTCCGTGCCACATTTGGCTCAACTTGAATGTTCTTTCTCTGCAGCCACCCAGTAGATAGCAATGGCCCAGCTTGTTGTTCTCTCAACTTCCCTCCTTTCTTTAGATAAGCAGCATTTCAGAGGAATCTCAGGCTAGACAATAGTGGCAGATGGCTATTTTTTAACACTCACAATGCAAGAGTTGCCACAGCAAAGGTTAAAGAAATCATTTGGTACATGAGAGGGACAAGTCTCTTCCATGCAGTTCCAGAGGTTACGTTTCCACTGCAATAGAAGAGTAGTCTGAAGGGTGGCTGAAGCTTTGCCTGCTCCAGCTGTCCTTTCCCATAGTTTATACGACACATCCGATGGTTTCTTGACATGCTGGGCTTGATGTGGTGGCATGTTTCAGCTGGCCATTATATTAATAACCCCACTGACTGCACAGGGTGCAAGCCTGGTTTTCAAAGTGGTCTTGGGGCTATTTTTACAACAGTGCTGTAGACATAACTATAAGGTTCCTTCCACCATGGATCTTTTTGAATGATCTGCTTTCAAGATTGCAGAGCATTTCTTCTACTACTCATGTGTCTGGAGAAACACACCCCACCAGCAGTTCCCGGAGAAGCTGTAAGTTTTAAGGAAAAGATCTCCTTCAACACTGATGATTCTGGCAATGTGTTTTCTTACAGGCAAGGTCTGCCTGGTAACTGTCCAGCTAGTCCTGCTCCATGTTCCCTTAGGAGGTTGTTCACTTTGATGACACAGGCTGGAGCGTGTCTGCATGGAGGAAGGATCGTACACTTGCAGCCTTGAAGTCTTTCTATATCAAAAGAGGGGTCTTCTTCTTAGTGCTTTTACGGACCTGCTCAGGTACGAAGAAATCCAAGCCCCATGGGTTATTTACCCGTGTATATTCACTTGCCGGGGCCCTAAAGGCACCAACAAGTTTTTGCTCCTTATTCCATGCTTTTTCTCTGTTATGTTTCACTCCGGTTTTGGCAGTGTTTCTCCTCACCATCATGCTTTGTGTATTTCTGGCTGTGCTCAGGCCTTCCTATGTGTTTTCATGGTTCCTCCTGCCTTACCTCTCCTTCTCCCTCAAACATCACTTCCTGATGCTGAATTCAGGGACATATAAGCTGGGAGGAATACAAGGAATACAATAGTTCAAGCTGGGATGGAGCAAGGAAGGCCAAGACCCATCTACAGTTTTAAACATCAAGGAATGTTGAAGACAGAAAAAATAAATAAATTAAGATTTTTTTCAAATACATCAGTAACCAAAACAATATTAGGGAAAATGTGGTCCCACTGCTGAATAGCACAACACCCTGGGTTGGACTAGGTGATCTCCAGAGGTCCCTTCCTACCTCAGTCATTCAGTGATTCAGTAACTCAACTCAGACCACATGGTTCAGACCCCTCTCCACACAAACACACAGCCCATGTTTTGGGAGGTGGCTCCCTGCTTTCCAATTGTCAGGAATTAAAGCAGCACTGAACTATTTCTCCTCTCGGCCTGATGGAAGGTGGCTCTTATGGCTGTCAAGGTTGAGAAGACCCTTCCCTCTACATAATGTGATCACACACACGCTTCTGAGGAGCCGCTGCCGTAAACATACCATGTGGTGACAGTAGTGTAGAACGGACTCTGAATGTTCATCTTTTCCCACAGCTGATAAGAAGAGAGGAGTCAGCCCAAGGCGACTTAAGCAGTCTGAAAGCAAATGGAAACAGAGGTTGTTCATAAATCCATCAGAGTGGCATGAACACAAGCCCAGCCTGCTCAGAATGACTGTCTGCAGGTACTGGACACCTTAGCATCTATCCGTCCTTGTCTGTCCTCTGTCTGTCTTGCTCAGCATTAGACCTCAGCTAGAGCAGGGGTGGAATAAAGCAATGTGGCTTCCTGCACACTGGATTTTTTTTTTTTGGAGCATCTGGGAATGGAGGAAAGAGAAGTGAAGGAGGAACCTTCTGCACTTCCCTGACATCATCTTCTTTCCCTCTCACAGGCCTGTGGGCTCTCCCACGTCACTTGTGCATATGGCCTTTCTAGCTGCTGGCCTTCACCACCCTGCTGGGTTCGCTGTGCTGTCGTATTAGAACCACTAAATCTGAATGAAACCTTTCCTCCTCTCCCTTCAAGTCTGAAACTTCACCTCAAGGGATGGATGGAAAATTTCTTCTCAAGATTCACCATTTGTGAACTGAAATGATAGTAGAGTCGTGCTAGGAGTTTTAAGGAAAGATCAAAAATCCAAGGTAGGCCTAAAATCCTTTTGTAATATGCTCCCACTGCCCCTGGTAATTCAAATATCCCCAAACTGGGCTGCTGATGCTTGTGGTGGAGAACCAGATCATCACGCTGTGATTCCTTCCTGCTCCAGGGTCTGCAGCCTCTCCTCTCCCACAGCAACTCCTGTGCTCCATTTCCTCCTTTCCCTGATGCATGGACAATCATCTCTGAGTAAATCCACTCCTTTCGAATTCTTCCTCAAGTCATACTTTTAATGCGACTGTAACCTGACTTTAATTCCACTCTGAGGACCAGGCTACTCGTCAGGCCCTGGGGATCGCTGATGCTTATCTAACTGATGCGAGGATCACTGAGCTGTACATTAGCTAACCTGATGTTGCAGCATCTTTCTTTTCCCATCCCCTGCCCAACTCCCTCCCCTCTTATTGCCTGGAATGGCCCTTTTCCAGGCACTCTGTCCCCTGGGATATTGCCCCAGATGTGTCCCAGATCTCGTGGTGTCCGAGGAACACCAAAGGACAGACCACAGCTCCCACTCATCCGCAGGTGAGCCCAAGCACTCGCGCACCTGCCAGGTTTCTTCCCACGCCGCCAAAAGATCTCCGCACTCTTCCAGCATTTGTTTGCCCACCGCCCTGCAGGAATAAGTCATTAGCTGGTGAAGCTGAGAGAGCTGCTCACTATAGGTGCCGTGTCTCTAGCAACTGAAGTTGCCACTGCTCAAACACGGGCCTGCAATTAGAAGGGGCAGATGCCCTCTAGCTCGAGGCCTGGGAGGAGAGCAAACTTTCCGAGCCCATCTACAGGCTTCAGCTCTGATGATAAAATCCCGCTTCTTAGGGGATCCCCAAGCTCAGCGTCCCCAAGGTCTCCTGCCAAAAGAATTACCTCAGTAAATGCGTTCCCTCAAACAAATCCTACCTGACAGGAGATTGAACATGTTTTCAAACTTCTTTGGGTCCATCACTGGCTATCAAACTATTTTAAGGCTCTTATTTCAAAAAACCCTGAAACATATTTTCCATTTATAAAGACAATTTGCCAGTCATGTTCATTATGTCCTTCATTGTTCTGGGTAATCCAGAGCTTTCAAGAATGTGTTAAATGTTTGGCTGGCAAGTGCTAGAACGTGTGCATGCCCATGCACAGGAGCTCCTGGCCCAGACTGGTTCTGCCCCATGTCTGCCCAGGTGCACCAGGTACCCCTGCTCATACGCACTCTTCCTCCTTGCAAACACTTCCAGTCACTCTGGACAATAAAATGTACTGCCAGCTCACAGTACAAAATGTTATTCATGTTATTCTCCCACCCTCTCACTGTTTCGGGGTGTGCCTAGGACCCAGATCGAAGCTCCCTGAAGACCCTTCTTCTCCTGCGCTGAGCCTTCAAATCATGGACCCTGTTCAGCTCTCCTTTACACATAGTCCCTTCCTCAGCTGGTCATGCGCTGTAAAAGGCTGCTCTCCCATGAAAAGAGGCTCTTTGATTACTCTCCTCCGATCTCCAAGCTTTTATGTTTCCCTTGACTCTCCCCAGGTCTGTAATTTTTAAGATTTGGTGCTAATTCTCGACCCCTTTGCTCCCCTTGCTGGTGGTTCTCCAAGCCCCAAATCGCGCAGGCAACTGGTGCAGACCCGTATGTGCATAAGCACTCTATGGCCTCTGTCCATCTTTCCACTACTTGTCACTCCTCATTAATTAACCCCACTGCCAAGGCCCCTCTATCACATTTGCTCACGCTCCCTGCGGATTGCCACAGGCACTGTCAGGAATGAGGCTACTTCCATCTGTGGCTACCGTCTCCCTCGGACTGGAGCAGATTTCCAAAGCAGTGAGCATGCTGATTTTAACTCTGAAACTCACAGTCCGTATCAGATGCAGCCAGGAAAAACGAAATCTACTCCAAAGCAGAAAAGCAAGGATGCTTGTTTAAGCAAGTCAAACTACTGATTTTAACAACACCTCCAATTTCTGTATTAAAAAAGGTTACTAGCTTCTGTCAGTATTGAGCACAAAGTCTATTTTACGTAGTTCCACACTGTATTTCTCAAAACTGATGTCAGCAGCAATGCTGAAAATGCTTATGACATCCTTTGAGTGGCCCGTTGATCTGCTCTTGCAGCCCCCTTCCCTCTCCCCATCCCAAAAGCCGGGGGTTCAGTCTGAGCCGAGCCTGCCCGTGCCTGGATGGACCAGGCTCTGCAGCTCACAGACCAGCCATGAGTGCCCTCTACTGTCGCACAGCTCCATGAGCTCTGAAGGAGACGATGCTAAATATGTCTTTAAAATAGTACCTGAGAGAAGGCAGAGGGAAACTAGCGGCCTGCCTGTGAGCCAAAAGAAATGTGTGGCTCTCAGCAGACCTTGCCAGTTGTGCTGGTAACTCAGAGCACTGCTCACACCTCCTCTCTCAGCTACTTCTGCCTATCCTAAGAGTGTTGTTGATAAACATAATGCTTCCTCCACATCCCCACCGAGCAGGAAGCCAAGCCCCTCTCTCTGCTTCTGGATGACCTTGGAAGCCACGCGGGAGTTACAGCCACCACTGACTGCAGCCGCTCGCCTGCTCCCTGGCACAGCACGAGTTGGGAACGGTGTGAACCCTGGTGCTCTGCAACAAACAGGACACTCGCAAAGGTGCGACCTGCTGGGTGCTGAGCTCTCTGGAAAAATCTGTCTTTAAAAGCCTAAGTAGAGCAATATTGCTGAGATTGCCTTTTCCTCCGTGTCTAAGCACAGCAGCTGTCAGGAGGAATGTTTTGGCTGTCACTTCCCATATCCTTCTGGAGCTGGGCATCTGGGTGGATGCCACAATGTGCTCTAGGGCCACTGCGAAACAGAGAGGCAGCCAATGCCTCTCTTCTGAACGCAACACGGGAGAAAGAAAAAAAAAAAAACTCCTTTACCTCCTTTTCCCTTGTCAGCTGCTCCCCCTGGGGTCTGCTGCTGCCCTTGGTCCCTTACCATGCTGAGGTGGTCCAGGGGTCTGCACTCACTGCTGGCAAGCCAAGGGGCAGCTGCTCACCCTGGGATGCAAATTAACTTTTCACTCAGACAGCTCGATGTGGGCCAGGGATGTTACTATGCAGATCACAGCCCAAGTAGTTGACTTTCTCTTCTCCAGGTCTGCAGAGCTGATGATGCTACATGTGTCACCCTAGACCAATATAATACCTTCTGGCCTCTGTCTCCAGGAAGTTGAATAGCTTCCTGCCTTTACAACAGCTTCCCCAAGAGGTCTTGCCCTGTCTGACTGAGGTGTCTTCACATACTGCCCCATCTGAGGGCAGGAGTTTGAGTAATGGGAGATACCAGATGATTTTTGAACAACCAACCCCCGTTGTGGTATTACCTACAGCTCAACAAAAATTGTTGACCAACCGCTGGCTATACAAAAGGCTGTCATTTACAGTGGAGAAGTCCCAGGACTGTCCCACCTCAGCTTCTTAGTCATTTTGGGGCAGAGAACCAAGAGGAAGATGGTCTGGTGACATTTACAATGATCTATTTTAAAGTGTTTTGTGTATGTATGTGAGAGAAAGACAGAGTCCCAAATCCTTTATGATTTGTGAAGCTGCTTTCCTGTTCAGCTGCAGCTGTGTCAAGGCTGCTTCTCTGAAGGCCTTCTTTCTGGAGGATCATGTCTGGTCCCTGTTCCCATTGCTTTGCATTGCTAGGACAGTTAGAGCTGGCTCTTACCTAGGGATTTCCTCCCTAGAGTGTTTGTCTTTGACTTACACAACGTCACAGCACAATGAGGGTCTTCACCTATTGCTTCTAGCTCTTTGCACATGTGCTTTGAGGAAGATCCGGGCAGTTCTTCTGCTAAAACAGCTTTTTTGGGGCCTGTGGCATCACAGAATAAGCCTGAGGCGTCTTAGCATGGGCTGTAGAGCTATAGACATACCCTGCTCTGGCTCAGTCTTGAATGGCAGGAATAATGACTTTGAGCATGGGATCAGAGTAGGTCTGTGTGTACCACCTCACTGCCCACCCAGACAATATACCAAGTAGGTAGCACTACATCTCCCAGGTTTGTGGGTGGGTTCCCCTTCCCGCACCCTTTTCTTTGGCTGGGCTCTCCTATGAAAGTAGCTGAAAATGGCAGTGGTGCTAAGAAAGCTGCTGGCCATACAGTACCAGGATGACAGAGTTCTGCGCCTTGGCTATAAAGTCAACGTTGATGCCTCCGATCACCACCTTTAAGAAGGAAGAAAATGGTAAAAAGGGATGGAGAAGTTCTCAGTCTTCTTTGCTTTTCCTAATCATTTTAAACACCCTCTTGAAAGCCATGACCTAGTGTAACAGTCTGCTCTTATTTGGCTTTGCTAGATGCAGGCCTGCACAATCCCAGATAGACAGGATGGAAGTCTCCTCTAAATGCTGCATTTTGAATTACACCTGCTCACAGCCAGCCAGAGCACAGCAGGCTGGACATGGCTGTGTGTGCGTGGGGCTGCTGCACAGGGGCATTTCACTGAGCAGTGTTAGAGTTAGGAAAGAAGTTGCATGGATGCAGCTATGTCAGTGCCCCTGAGGCCATCTCTCTTTGGGCAGCTTTTGACATACCACACCTCAAAAGAGATGCTGATACTGCTGTTAAAAAATACAAAGAAGATGCAAACAACAGGCTAGAAGAACTAGGTAATTTCATGCAAGTTCTCAGAAGAAACCACCATATTCAGAGGTCAAGGGCAGATGATACTCAGCCTCACCCAGTGACAATTTATGGACCATTGTCTTCTTGTCCTACAAATGTAGAAAAAGCAGTTTACAGCTCCGCAGAAGGAGGCTGCCAGATTCCTTGGGGACATACGTCTGTTTTTCTCTTGTTCAGCCAAATGCTGGGCTGTTGCCTTTGGAGTCACTGACCTCTTTTATGTTGACAAGTGCTATTGCAAATGGGTTTCAGAAGCTTCTCAGCTCTCTAAAGGCTACCTAAAATCGATTTTCTGTAATGCGTGTGGCACATCCAGAATTTGTGATAGTGAGTGGTGTATTATGGTTATAAGGGATTCTGTTTGGGATATGCAGCTCTTGTAATTTGGAAGTCATGAGCAGGAGACCAATGAGAGGAGACATTTATTAAACATCTATACCTTACCAGCTCAAAATACCCCCCGCCAAGGTCTGCTTTTGTAGTCACATCTCTTCCCCAGCACTGAGAGCAATCTAACTGAAGTTGTATGGAAGGGCACAATAAGAGGCAAAAAGGTCATCAGGGTTTTAAGAACTAAAGGTTTTTTAAGGAGAATGGAGACAGAGATGGCATACACCCAAGGAAAATGGAGAAAACAAAAAAGAGAATACCTGCCTACATTAAGCAGAAAGGCTGGTCTCTGGCTGAGAGCTGAGTCACTTTATACTTTTGGGAACAGATGTAAATTCACCCTCAATGTTGTCAGCAGAGACAAGTTATCTAAGGGGCAGCAGAGGACTCACTGGCTGAGGTGGAATCACGTCCTCTCTCCGAGGCAGCCTCTTCTTCCTCGTGGCTTTCTGTAGTTTGCTGAGGGCCACTGCAATGCAGCTGCCCACTCTGGCGTTGTTCTGGATCAGGGCGATGTCTGCATGGGGTTTCTTTGAGGAAAAGAAAAAATGCCACCAAGAGGATTGGCCTGGCAGAAGTCTCTGTAGCTTCTACATTTCCCTTAATGGGACAAAGCAGGAAATGCCAGCTGGAAAATTTGGTGGGTCTGATCCCACTGTGCCATAATCCGTTGTCAACACATATACTGAGTTACAACAATATGTGCACAGCCTAAAGCTTTCATTGTACTCATCTTCCCTCCCCTGCATCTCCATGAAGTAGAGGAATCTCTACCATAATCTGTACGTTTACAAATAGGAAATGGAAGGAAAGGTCACCTAGAACAGAGAAGGAACTGAAGTGTTTAGACAGGAGTTAAGACCTAAAAACTTCTGGGGATTTTGGGCAGATTTTTCAGAAACAGATGCTTATTGTTATTTTTGTCAAACTTCTGTGCACCTATTTCTATCTATTTCAATGGGAGCAGAGAACCAGAGGCTTTTAAAAGTTCCACTAGCTGCAGCTTTAAGTATCCAAAACCTTTACCAATCTGCCTAGACTGGCCAGCTATGAGGTCTCTCAGAGGGCTGTCAGGAAAGCCTGGAGGTGAACTGACCTCTCCCAGAACCTACAGCAGCACCACAGCCAGTACATCTGCCTTTCTCATGCCCGTGCAAGAGTAATCATGCTCACACAGCAGCACTTCCCCTTTGTGCTTGTCTTACTCTGCACAAGCACGAAGACTCACACAGGACTCACATGATGAGTGAGTGCTGGGATGGCCGAGCACCTTCCCACATGCCCACCCCGTCACTGGCAACAACACCCTGAGACTCCTTCATGGACTAGGTGAGCTCACGGGTCAGAAATGAGGGAATGTCTTTGGGTTTGGACACCCGCTGCCAGTGCCAGCCTCCGATTTTTAATGTAAAAATGGAGGGAGACACTAAGAGTACTACTGAAGAAAGAGAAAAAAGCAAAAGGAATTCAGTTGCTAAGTTCTCCTAGATTTGCAGATACCGAAGTGTTTGCCCCTTTCCAGAGTGTCAGTAAAGTGACAGCGTTTTGCAGCGAGTGTTACTGAGCGGTGTGAAGAAGCACAGGGCAGTACGTGCTGGTATCTCCCCACTCACTGAAAGGATACTGGAGGCCAGCGATTCTCCATCGGTCAGGTCACTGATCTTCTGTAACAGGAAAGGAGTCACTTCTTTGCCTGTGATCCCTTTCAACCTGCAAATACAGAGAAAATGCCTGTTGATGAGGAGAGCTCAGCAGCATCAAAGAAGCACTGCTGCTAGCAGATAATCTACCTCCACACCTGCATATCACAACACCTTTATGTAACCTTTAAGTAAGCTTTGGGTTAGATAAAACTACACTGAAAGACACATTATGGGCTCAAACACACCCAAGATTGAAACCTGAGCTCTACTGCAGCCCTTGTGGTTGTCCCCTGAAGTTGTTTGCTTCCCCACGAGCACGGCGTGAGCAGAGGATGCTGCTCACCTGGCCTCGTGCAGTGCTTGCTGGATGGCCTCTTCGACGGCGCGGCCCGAGGCAGCTCGCTCCTGGGGACAGGGCACTGCTATGAGCACCCCGCTGCTCAGGCCCAGCCCCAGAGCGCTGGCTGCAACAGGACACAGGTACTGTTAGTGATTCTCCTGGGCTGGATCAAAGGCTGACATGAAAGGACAGACAGGAGCACACACAGGTGAGCAAGGCTGTGGTGTTTGAGCTCCTGTTCTTAGCCGGTCCAAGGACAGGTTCTTTTCCAGCTATCTGCCTGTTTCTTTTTAGTCTGTCTGTAGCATAAAAGGAATTTTTTGTAAACACATTCTTGTACTTGCCCCCTCCAGTTCACCAGTGTGAACAAAACATGAGTATAAGCACGTCAAGGTGGCTGCAGTTATCTGTAAAAATTTCCTCTGAAGAGTCAAATTCCCTGCTCCCTCATTTTCAAGGCACTTAACAGGAGCAGGGATAGGTGGGATGGCTTGGTTTTTTTCTAGGCAGGCTCTTCTTCAAGTTAAAAAAAAGAAAGTGCCTCATCGGAGGTGACTTTTGTGGCCTTCTGTTCCCAGGGCCCACGTGGACCTTTCACTGCTGAAACGCACCGATGAGTTCGGCTGCCTCCTCCTCATTACGGACGCGATATGGAGCCTGGAAGCCACTTTGGCGTGAGAAGAAGGCTGGAAACTCCCTTGACTCTCCAAAGGCAGCTACGCAGACTCCCTGCGTCTCCTGCAGCAGTGGAGATGAGACAAGTAGATAACTGGAAGAGGGGACCTACCAAAAACATGTGACATTTCCCTTCCGCACAACTATGAATTGGACTTCTTTCAGATATCAGCAACATTTTTCAAAGCAAAGAGCCAGACACAGTAACTAGTCAAGCAGAATTTGCCTTAGTGATATATTGGAGACAATACACACTCCTGAGCCTGTGCTCAGAGCTAAGAAAAAGGTGTGGAGCTGCTGTTAGCACAACAGTGAGCCCAAGGTAATAAGCCTGATCTTTGATCTGAAGACATGTCATGAACCGAAAGGAATAAAAATGAGTTCTGTTTACTGAGGAAAAGCATTGGCTCTTGGCTGTCACCTGAGGAGCTGGCCCTGGTGGTTCATTAATGTACCAACCTCTAACAACAGACTCTACTGAGAATCATGTTGATACCCGCTGGAGATCTGCTTTTATTTTAGCGCTGCTCTTACCTGGTCAGTGTAGTGCCCTCCCAGCCGCCAGCGAGCGGGCAAGGCGAGCACTGCCCTGGGCTCCTGAGCAGCAGCTGATGGAGCAGTCTCTTGGGCATTGAGATTTGTGTTAAGGAGCACTGAGCGCTTCAACTCAGCTGAACTCAGGTCTAGTGAACTCTGAATGTGATTTCTATCCTCTCAATAGTCATTTCTGAAGAGCTTAGGATAAATACCCGTCCCAGCACCACTGAGCATTTTTGGCGTTGCTGGGTTCAGCTCCCAAAGTATGACACTATCTATCTGCTTTAATGCTCAGCAGCCCACGTTACCTACCAGATATTCCAGGGTCCTGCCAATATCCACGATCGACTTGACTCCTGCAGATACAACAGCAACCGGAGTCCGTCCTAGCTCCGTCAAGTCAGCACTCACATCCAGAGCTGTTAGGGGGCAAGTGGCCTTGTGTTGGTGAGTGTTGCACCCTTAAAAAGCCGTATCTGTAGGAAGGCCAAGGTCTGCTTGTGTCTTGGGCCACTAACAGATATGACAAGTTTAGATCATGCCTTTGGCCATGGAGATTGTTAAGACAAGATGAGAACAGAGAAATCATATGGCTCAGGGTGGAGGTGGAGCCTTGCACACTCTCTCAGCTGTTTGATTACATGCACCAACAGCATGTAAAAATTCAGCACAAAAGAGAGAAGAAGGTGTTACAAACCAAGAACAAAGTTTAAGAGACTAGAATTAAAATGACTAGATCCTGATTTGGCAAAATGTGCCAAAAAAAGGTTTCCTGACCTCATCAAATTCTGGTCTGGAATTTATGTCACACCTGAAAGAGACATTGGGCATCACTGCCGTACCCCTGTGCTATGCTAGGGATGTGTATGGCTAAGAACTAACAATTCAAATAGTTTGAAGCTTCTGGAAAGAACCCTCAGGAGAGAAACATGAGTAGAGCAATCAGATCAGCTGGGGGCACCTTGTGCTTCTACAGAACTGCTTCTAAACGGCCTCTTTCACGATTTGCCTTGGGCGAAGGAGAATTTCTGAGAATTGTATTATGCAAGAGGAATAGTTTGAAGCTTCTGGAAAGAACACTCAGGAGAGAAATATGAGTAGAGCAAACAGATCAGCTGGGTGCACCTTGTGCTTCTACAGAGTTGTTTCTAAATGGCCTCTTTCATGATTTTCCTTGGACGAAGGAGAATTTCTGAGAATTGTATTAGCCAAAATATGTAACATATATGTAACAACCACAGTATGGTCAAAAAGAATGATAACTCTTTACGGAGCAGAGAGTTACTGCAGGACAAACTGGGAATGGGGGAAAAAATGAATTAAAAAACAAAACAAAACAGAACAGAACAGTAGCAATATAGAGCAAAGCACATGAACTGTTTTTCTTACTGTCCTGTCCTCCACGATGGACCCCTCCAATGCCTCCAGTCACAAACAGGGGGATTCCTGCTTTGTGCGCTGCAATCATTGTTCCAGACACTGTAGTGCCACCAGACAAGCCCTGTTGGGGACAACCAGTCACAGTCAGCAGCCTTGGTGACCCACAGAACACTGCATGCAGGCAGCTATGGTTGGGCATCCCAACAGCCTGCTGCAACCAGCTTAGCAGTGGAATTTTGATACAAGCATTCTATTACGCAGAGAAAACTTAATCTGAAATTTAAAAAAGCCATATTCAGATATTTATGGTGATGCATTTTAGCACTGGGCTGTGATAAGAGTGAGTGGAATTCTAGAACTGAGAGGAGCGGAGAGGAGGCGCCTTGGATGCAACTTGCCTCCAGTTCATGGCAAGCCTAAATGAATGCAGTATTTTAACTTCCATGTTCCCACTCCCCAGTGCCTATTGTTTTTCTCAACAGAGCTGCTCTTTGGCTTACTTAGGCACCTGTATAACACATCTGTTGTGTCTTATAGCCTATCAGTAAGTATAGCACAAACACATGGGTTCCTTGACATGTTTAAATCTGTCAGCTGTAGCTTAATGGAATGTAAGGAAAACTAACCTCCAAGGAGCATTAACCAAAACATGCTGTTTTGCAAATGGAATGGAAAAAAAATTCATTTTAAAGGTGACACTAACACACAAGTTGTGCTATAGTTGAGTTGCCCCTAGACTTGCCAAAAACAGATTTGGGGACTTTGAGGAAAGCATTTCCTTACTAACTAAAGGTCCAGACTAAAGAATTGAGCTATAATAAAAGTTTGAAAGTGAAATGAAACCACTTGCTTATCATGAACGAAGACACACTTTCCATAACCCTCCATTGCTATGGAAAATGCAAATGGGAAATTCCTCAGCGAATGGCCTCAAGATTCATTGCCCACACTACGTAAGCGCTCTTGTCCTGGCAGCAAAGCCTTCCTCCTCCAAGGCTTTCCAAAGAGCAGCTTTCACGAGCAGCCAGTGAGACTTAAGCACCCTGTGTGTTATTTACGACGTCCTGCATGTCACCTAAGTTCACATGTAACATGATGATGCCTTATCACGCCAAAAGGAATGTTCTTAGCCAAGCCTTTATTTGTTCTGCGGTCAGCCAGCACAGAACGACATTTTAGGAGTTGTTATTTCATGTCTGCTATTCCCTAACTCTGCTGTTAGGCACATGTTCGAGCTGACGGGGAAGACAGCACTTTGCATGGTAGTTCTGCCTTCATCTGTCTTGAAGCTAGAAAGCACAAGACTGCTGTACAGAAGATACTGAAATAGAAAGTGTGTGTACCATACCTGGCTGAGGATGTAAGGAAGATCTCTCCGGGACACTTTAACTACATTTTTACTGCCTGCCAAGAACTGAAGTTCCTCATCCGTGAGGCCAATGTGGATTCTGCCCCTTACAATGCCCACAGTGGCCGGCACTGCCCCATTTCTTGTGACAATTTCTTCCACCTCTCTGGCCATGCTGGAATGAGATAGACAAGAGAATGATGACAAAACTAACCAGGCAAGATCTGCGTATTTGTTGGCCATCAATGAACAGGTTCCAGTTCTATACAGTCCTCACAATCCCCACCAAAGCCAAGGCCTCCTCTGTGTCTTCCTAAAGGCAGAAATCTCTACACTTAATTTTGCAGCACCCAGTGCTTCCATTTTCAGGACTGCAAGCTAAGCTCTGTGCTTCATTTTTGAGGTACCATCTGAAAAAATTCCCAGCTTAGAGGGAAATCTGACTGTACAAAAGACTGCTGAATATAGGGGATCTTCTCAAAAATAAGACTTTTTTGTATCTAATAATCATTATTTCTGAAATCATAGACCTTCATGGGAACCCCGGATATCTCAAGCCTGATCAAATAATCAGGACAGATCTCTCATACTACAGATATTCAGGTACAGGATAAAAAAAACGCACTGAAAAGTTGCAACCTGAGGATATGCTACAGCTACAGACCAGGTCTTTTAATGTTCTGCAAGTAAGTTTTATACTTGCTCATTGCTACTCTATCTTTTCAAGAACAGCTTCTCCCTTTCAGAGCTATCTGTAGGTACCCTAGGCAATCTCTAACTACCTCTCCCCAAATCTGAATTTGTAGAGCTTTGTTCTAGGGCCAAATAATGCCCACGTAAAAAACACAATGGAAAAAATCAATACTGAAACCTTCCTGTGCTTTGTTGAAGCAAGGAGAGGCGGGGCTGCCACCCACTGCCTGGAAAGACATGGTTTCTTGCATCATCTCTCACTGGGACACAGATCTACAGGACACCAAAAAAAATAAGGGTAGAAATCTGTTTGTTTGTGTTTGCCTAGGCAGGGAATAGACAGCAGCAAGAAGGACCAGCAGCTTTCACAGTAGACGTTTTGGAAGGAACTAGTGAGATTTCACTATGCTGTTCTCTTCATTTCTGTACTATGCAAGAAACTGAAGAGTGTTTCTAACGTCTACAAATATCATGCGGCCATAAGTTATCTCTATTTTAGAGTAGGTGATGACTCTACATTCTGCCACATATTAAAGGGAGGCAGGAATGGAAGGTGATGGATAAGGAAATAAATCAGCAGGTGTTTGTTGCATGGTCCTGTTCTCTTTCGAAGACAACATACAACAGTTTTGTATTATCAGAATTTACGTTCTGCATGTCTAGCAACCCGACATCTCCATTCAACTCTTAGGAGGGCTTGGAGTAGGCTAGAAATACATATACTGATTCATCAGTTCCATGACTCATTCTTTGTTGAACTAGGAACACAGCAACCTCAGATTGTGAGGATAGGCCATGCCGTGGGTAATGATGGTGCTTTCCAAGGCTACAATTGGTCTCCCCTCCATCAGTGCTTCCTGTACGGAGGGCTGAATTCTGAAATAAGCACCTAAAGATAAACAGAACAAAGTTAATCATTCACAATAACCACTGGCTATTTGATAAAAGGTAGATTTTCACCATCACAGTAAATTTATCCCCCTTTTCAGCTGTTCTTTAAGGGGAATCTGAGCCCACAGATAACTTCAGACAGACTTAAACTGTGCTTTTAAACTAGTTAAATGTTTGGTAACTATTCACTACTATATTAATACTAATTATCACCATCATGGTCATCATTGGGTGATGATTTTAGAGCTGTGTTCTGTTGTTTGTTCCCGTAACATAAGTTTAAATTCATATTACTGTGAGTGAAAGAACTGAGTCCTGCAATCTATGATGCATGATGAAGAATGATGCATGTTTTAAAAAAAGTATAAGGATTGGGAATTCAAGATATTGTAAAAGCATCATGTACGAAAATTTCACTTATCTACGTGTGTCATTATCAAACAACAGACACTCCTATCCTGAAGTACCCTCCTGAAAGTTGAAAAAGCTCATCTGCTCTGCTCCCAAAACACTGCTGGCAGCGTCCCTCCAACATCCAGGTGAGGGAAACACTTTCCACACAGGGACTGTTTCAGAATACACTACTCACCATGCAGAAATCTTCTCACCTGGATGGTCCTACTTGCCACAACAGACATGTGTCTTCCCAGTCTATAGGTCATCTTCCTAATCATCTTTTGCAGTAGATTCCAAAAGTCACA